TGGTAGGGACAGGTTCGATGGGGAAATAAGGAATAAGTTTGCCTACCATAGCACTGAGAGAAGATATTCTTTGTTCAGTTTCCTGCTTCAGGGCACGTGCGAAATGGAAACTAAACTATAATCTTGCCCCTCCACCCGCGGATATATTTTAACTAGATTCCGGAATGAAATGAAAAATGATAGTTTCGAACAGTTCCACTTGCCTTCTTTTTTCAAATTTTGGAGCATATTCATACTTTGTTATTTCATCGTGAACTTTTTCAGCGTCATTTGTTCGAGTACAATCCCATGAGGTTGTTTGCGACGATATTACTCGCAGGTTGGTTGGGGCAATCACCACATGGCACGACATCCATAGCAATCTGCTACGCTTGAGCATTGGTAAGAAATCACTTAGAACTTTATAAAGTTACTAGTTGTGAACCTATAAAAGCTGTACTATGGGTTGAGTGAGAGAGACAGTTGTTAGCGTAGTAGAAGAGATGCTTTCTCACCGGCGATATCGTGGCAACAAGGAAAAACCTCCCCCGATACAATAACCCCACGCAGGGTTCATACTTTGCGAAACTAAAGAACAGGAGAATGGGAGGACAGGAACAGTAGAGAATAGGAGAGTAGGAGGATAGGAAATCGGAGACCGAGTAGAGAGAGTAGTAGAATCGCGAAATGCTCGCTAGAGTAGGTAGGAATGAAAGAGTAAAGGCATAAATCTCAACGATTCTCTGCCAATTTCCCTTTCTATTACCTGGAACCTAAGCGAAATAGGTCCTGCATTGTGTGCAAGGGGACGATAAAAACGTCACAAATCCACCGCTCCTATGTTCCTGTTTTGGCGTGGGCACATACCCGAGCGAAATGTGGCCTCCGAGGCTTTCAGCACTTCTTCCACGGTCTCTTTTACAAAGAGCTACCCTTCCTTATCTCAGCTCATCGGGAGCGACGTGGTACGCCGGAATTTCATTTAAACGTGGTTGCGACCATGCTTTTAGTGGGATGTAGTCCTTTCTCAGGCGAATGTAATCATGTTTTTATTCGGAAGAGTACAGAATGGCATTTACCTCGAATGAAAGTATCAGAA